GCGACCTCCGGTCCTGCCCCGAGTGTGTGAGTGTGTGAGCGACACTGGCTGGTCCCCAGCGGCAGAGGCGAGGCTCCAGGGCACGGCTCGCTGGTGCCACTGCGCCGGGCAGGGGGCTGCGCTGCGCGGGCGGCCTGGAGGGGAGCCAGGGATCCCGCGTGTGCGGCCACGGCACCCCAGCTCTGCAAACATCCGAGCCGAGAAGGGGCGGGCCTTGGTTCCTGCTTTGACTTCTCTGCCAGAAATACAACAATCAAGCCCCTGAGGCCTTTTATAAGCTTGTTTTGAGAAATGTAGGCATGTCTTTTATTTCCTGGCAGCTCTCTGGGTAACCAGGGCCCCTCTCACAGCACAGTCACCGGAGTCCTGCCCGCAGGGCAGCGAGGGGGCAGGGCCCGTTGAGGCCCGGAGGCCGCGCTCACCCAGCCCGGGGAGGGGGAGGCTGCCCTTGGCCGGGCACCGTCCGGAGGTCCTGGGGGAGCCGCCCTTGGGGTTGCAGGAGGATGGGGAGGGCCAAGGCCAGCTTCCTGGGGGCGGGGATCTGAGTGGGGCCAGTGCCCAGTGGGGGTGGGGGTGGGGGTGCGGTGAAGGCGGAGTTCCCAGGGGTGAGGAAGAGAAGCTGTTGGGGAAACAGCCCTCCCTGCCCTCCCGGGGTGGCGGGGGGGGGAGCCCTGCTGGGTTGCAGGGCCTGGGCTGCATTTCTTGCTGTCTGCATCCAGACCCCCCACTGCCCCCACCCCCATGGGTGCCCCACCCTGCCCCTCCACCTCTCCCTAGCCTGGCCCTTCGAGCCCCTCCTCCAGGGGCTGCCTCTCCTGGGTGTTCAGACACCCATCTCTCCCGTGTCTGGTCACCGGCTCTGCCGGCCCCTCTCCTGCCTTGTGCAGACACAGGCTCCTGCCTCCCCCTCCCTGGCAAAGCCACCTCTTTGCCTCACCTCCGGTGCCCCTTGGCTGGGCACCCCTCCAGGGCCAGGGCCCAGCCCTGCAGAGGCCCCTGGCTGTGCCTGCCAGTAGGCAGCAGCTCCGTGCCCTCCCCCACACCCACAGGCCACCTGAGCCGGGCACACACTTGCACGGGGACCGATGCGCCCTGCTCCCCACACACACCTGGGCCAGCTCACCTCGCCCACAGCAGCTGCTCCTTGGGGACCCAGCCCCCTTCCAGGCTCCACCCCCTGCAAGCCTCCACGCCGGGCTGTGCCCGACGCGTCCCGGACCTGAGCAGGCGGCAGGCTGTGTTCGAGGACCCAGGGCTGTGTCTCGTCCTGGACAAGCCCCTGGCCCAACCTGGAGGACAGCGTGGCCCCGACTGCTGCTGTGTGCAGAGCTCTGAGGGCGCACATGCCGGCGGCTAACAGATGACTCGTCCCCCTTGGCAAAGAACCGGGCTGTGGAGGCTGAGGCACTGAGACTGGACTCTGTGGAGGGGGTGGGGGTGGGGCAAAACCACTTGGGTGGCCCTGCCCGGCCGCCTGCTCACAGACCCAAGGAGCGGACACCCCAGGGCCCAGGCTCGTCCAGCTGCTTCTGTCCTGGGGCCCCTGCCCCCATCCTGGTCATCAGTCTGACCACAAGCATGCCCAGTTCAGCCTGGCAGCCAGGGGTGAAGGAGCACCCATAGCTAGGGCCCTTGGGGGCAGCTTGTGCTGGCCGGTCCTGCAGGGTTAGGAGTGTCCAGGGAGGGTCACCAGGCCGGTGGGTGCATCGGGAGGAAGAGTGCTCCTCAGGAGGGGCCCTGGGCAGGCGCGGGCACACTGGTTAAAAGGCTGGCCCTGGGGCCTGCGCGCACTGGGAGGGCCCGGGGCTGTGTGTCTCTACCCTGCTCCGGGCGGCCCCGCAGGGCTCCCACGCCAGGGCCCACCCTGGCCGTGTGCACGGCCCTGGGCGATGCTGCAGTGGGGAGGACGGCCACTTCCAGGCTGACCTGGGACTGGTGAGGTGGCTCCTTCCTCTGGGAGAGAGGGGCGCCGGCGGGGGTGCCCTCCTGGGCGACGGGCCGCAGGGGGACACTGGGAGAAGGACTGTCCCTCTGACCCGGTGCACGCACTCAGAGGGATCTGCAGCCGGAACGGGAACAGCGGCTGCCTGCATCTCGCCGGCTCGTCCCTGTGGCTCGGGCCGGGTGTCTAGGTGGTCGGACGAGAGTCACGGGTATGCCCAGATGGGGCACTCTGCCGCACAGAGGGGAGACTGAGGCTTGCGGAGGAAGTGACTAGCCATGGCCGCCCCGCTCTGGGGGGGGGCAGGGGGGGGACGTGTACACGGGGTGGAGGGGGTGTGCGCAGCTTTCCTCTGCCAAACCCACTGTCGGTGCTGCCTCCACAGGCACGCGGCCCGCCCCGGCTCCCGCTCGCAGCTCTGTGTGCTGGGACTGGCCGCAAAGGACAGTCTTCCCACGGACACGGAGGGTCAGCAGGGTCAGAGACACTCGGGTGAGGGGCCAGCGGGGGCTGGAGGGGGCCTGGGGTGACGGGCGGGAGGGGCCCTGGAGGCACACCTTGACCCCTACCACAGCAGCTCAGCCTTGGAGACACGACCAGAAGACCCGTACCCCCATCCCAGCCCCTGCACCCCTATCGCAGACGCTTGGGCCCCCCATAGGGTGCCTGGCACAGCCTCCCTCCAACGAAGGGACAGAGGTGAGCGGTCACGTGCTACGTGAGGCCACTGGCGGCAGCTCCTGGTGACAAACAGACCAGGATCTCCTCTGCATCTGCGTGGCCCCGCCCTGGGCCGGGCCGCACCTGGGGCTCTGCAGAATGGCTGCCGCTGGGTCCCCTGCTGCCCTGAGCAGATGGGTGCTCCACCTCGCCGGTCCCAGAGGCCAGCACACAGCTGCCGTCTGTACCCCTGGGCAGTGTCAGCACCTGCGGGGAAGCCCCTTCCCCCATGGTGGTGGTGGTGGTGGTGGCAGGGGTGGCCGCCCCCCCTCCCCCAGCTCCCCTCCCTGGACCACGGGCCGCCATGCAGGGCCTGAGCAGCAGAACGAGGCTCCCTCTGCAGGTTTCATAGCCTCGCAGCCGCTGTGACCCGAGAAGAGGCACCGTGCGCGGTGCCTTCTGGAAAGGGGCCCCCAAGCCCCACCGCACTGGTCCTCGCTGGGCTGCAGCCCATGTGCCGTTCCGACGGAGACGCAGAGAGCCCGTCTCCCAGCAGGGTCACTCCTGGCCTCACGCCCTGCGACAAGTGGGCCCTGCCAGGCAGCGCAGGCGCCTGTCCATCCACCATCCACTCACCGGGCCGAGCACTGGGCTGGGGACGGAGGCAACAGAGGCCAGCGGGGTGGAGCTGGCCCGCAGAGGGTCTCCACTAGGCTGGACACAGGCGCCTGGGCTCAGGGCTGGCCCGCCCAAGGCCTGCTGGACACGGTCACAGCCAAGTGGATGCAGTGGGGGGTCCTCTCGCCTGAGGGGGCTCGGCTGGGGGCACCCGTGGGCTCACTCCCTTCAGAACAACTGCCTTCCCTTCTCGCCTCAGGTGGCGAGTCTAGGGCCACCCCACGCCGTCTGCTGGGCGCCCCGACACGGAGCCCCGGGGCTACTTTCTTGAGGGGCCCCAGAGCACGGCCCCCCCGGGAATTCGGCTGCCTCTCCTCCCGGGTGAGGAGGCGGCGCAGGGCTCATGCTGAGCGCACACGGGCGAGGGTTCTCCGGTGCTCTCTGTGCTGGGGAGAGCTCTCACGGAGACCTGCTCTGTCCGCAGGCAGAGCGCTGGTTTCTGGTGAAACCGTTTCTTTTGCTCGCGGATCCATCTGCTCTGGAGCCCTCTCTCCTGTTGTTTGGCCTGGGCCATGTTTGCAGAGGCCGGTCAGGGGGCGGCCGGTGCATCAGGGCTCGAGGGGGACTGGGAGCGGGGACGTGGAGCCCGGCTCAGCCCCCGAGGGACGCTCCGAAGTCGTGCTGTCGCGGCGCTGCGATGCGCCTCCCCATTCCCGAGCCGTTCGGGCCTCCCCAGCCCCGGCAGACGCAGAGCACAGCCCTGCGCAGCTCACCCCGCGGGCCTCCGAAGTCAGGCCCACCCCACTGACCGGGCCCTGGCCCCAGGGACTTCCAGCAGGCAGCATCTGCAGAGGGAACGGCTGCCCCCTCCCACCGCTGCCACACCAGCAGACGCTGCCTTGAAGCGAGGAGGCTTCTCTGCACGGGCGCGGGAAACGCAGCCGCCGGTGTGGACCGGCCACGGAGGGGGGCGGAGGGGGGCAGAGGGAGCCAAAGACGCTGAGGACCTCGGTGGTGAGGGGCTGGCAGAGGCCTTGTGGGCAGTGGCAGGTAAAGATGACAGCTGTGCCCAAGATGGGGGTGGTGATGGATGTGGGGGAGACGGAGCAGGTGACAGTGCTGACAGAGGGGTGCCGGTCGGGGTGGGGGGTGTTGCTGGTGGTGGGGGGGGGGTGTTGCTGGTGGTGGTGGAAGTGGCCCGGGCTGTGTTCAGGGCCCTGGTGTGGGAGGTGACAGGACATGCAGCTGCCAGCCCCTTTCCAGCCTGGGTTCAGGGTGATTTCGGGAGGCGGGACCCAGTGCACGGAGGCCCACCCACAGTAAATGCCCACGGCCGGGGTGCAGCACTGCATGTCTTTCCCTCCGTGGGGGGGGGGGAGTCCACCCTGGTCGCCCGGAGACCGAACTGGCCAATGCCTGCTCTCTGAAAGAACCAGGACCGGGCCGGACGCCCCCGCCGAGACGGGAACCAGGCGCCCGATAGCCGCTCAGTGCACGCTGCCCAAGCTCCAGGCTGGTCAGACCCGGGCCAGGCGGGGGCAGGGCGCGCCGCGCAGCAGTCGCCAAGGTGGTGGGGCTGCCGCTCGCACCCCCGCCCGGCGCGCCTCTCCCCCGGCCGCTGTCCGGCCTTGGCCGCCGGGGGAGGAAGCGCTGTCCTCATTCCACCCCTGGCCGCTGCGGTGCCAAGTTGCTGGCGGCGGCGGGCGCGGGGCGGCGGGCAGCGGCGGGCAGCGGCGGGGCGCAGCGCCCCCCCGCGGCGCCCGCGGGCTCGGGTACTCACGTAGAGTCCGGAGTGCTCGGCGCCGAAGAACGGGAAGGGCACGGAGAGCGGCCGCAGCCCAGAGCCGCCGTCGTCCTGCTTGGGGGTGACAGCGTCTCCGTGCCCCGCGCCGAACGGGTAGAAGTCGGCCAGCGCCACCGCGCCGCGCACTCCTCGCGCCCCGAGCCCCAGGGCCGCCGCCAAGAGCAGCGCCCAGGCGGCACCGGGAGGCATCGCCGGGGGTCGGCGGCGGGGACGGAGCGGGGCGCGGCGGGGACGGAGCGGGACAGAGCGGGGCCTCGCGGTCCCCGCGGGCTGGGGCGAGGCCGCGGTTGGCAGGGCGGAGCCGGGTGCAGGCAGCGCGGCCGCGCCGTCGGTAGCTCCGCGCCCCGCGCCCCGCGCCCCGCGCCCGCGAGCTCTGCCGGGCCGCGCTCCGGGGACCGCTCGCGGACGAAGGCGCCGGACGGGACCGCGTTCGGAGCCGGCCCCGCCCCGGGGCCGCGATTTAAATATCCAGCGGGGCGGCCACCGGCCCGGGGCGGGGCCATGTAAATAGAGCGGCTCTTAAAGCGCCAGGCCCACCGGGGCGCACGGAGCCTGACCTGGCGCCCGGGGCGCCTCCTGGGGCCAAGCGGCTTTGGAGGCCCAGCCCGCGGCCCCCGCGGCCCCCGGCTCTCCTGGCCCGGGTCCTGGCGAGGTGGGGGCTTCGAGGGCGCACGCCTGGCTCAGGGGCCGTCCTCCTCCTTCGGGAACCCACCGTCCTGCCCACTGGGCAGTGTGGGGACAGAAAGGCCAACATCAAGAGACGCTGGGCCTGACAGGCAGGCTCTCCTGGTGCCCTGCGCCCCGCGGCGGAGAGTCATCGGTGGGGGGCGACCCTGGCTTAGCCGTGCCTGATGAACCCTCCCGGAAGAGGCTGGAGGCCAGCCCCCCGCCTGCCCCACGCTGCCCCCACTCCCAGCCGGAGGCGGGGGACCTCGGATTCCGGTGCAGGGGACGAGGCTTCCCACCTGGTGTCACGCGGGGACGACCCCTGGCCTGGGGGGCCTCAGGGTGTTGAACAAAGTGTTTCTGACCCGCAGGCTTCCTGGTGGGCTCTGGGCACGAGGGAGCCTCCGGGAAGGGGAGTCTTGGCAGACCCCCCCCGCAACGCAGCCTCAGGCAGAGGTCTGTCCCTCCCTCCGGCACTGGGGGAGGCGGACCGGGGTCCCCGGGCCCCTGGAGACAGGTGCACCCCCCCTCCAGGCAGAGATGAGCAGAGGAGGACAGGCCCGGCAGCCCCCAGGGGCTGGGGGTTCACATTTGTCCTTGTGTTTTTCCATGTTTTCTGGGACGTCTTCAAGGAGCAGCCAGTCGGCTTACAGTCAGAGCAAGGAGCACCTGACGTGACTTTTCACAATGGGTGGGAGGGGCTCTGTGGGGGCGGGGGGCTTGACTCTGGGGCCACAGGTCTGCTCGGGTCCCCTTGGGGTGCAGGCAGGGCCGGGGAGGACCTCCGGGGGCCGGTGTTGCACGGGCACGCCCGAGAGTGGGTGCCCCATACACGTGGCCCTAGTGCCTGAGACCCAGGCCGCGGGGCAGCCATGGCCGCGGGGGGCGGGGGGAGGGAGGGCAAGAACGGCGCCGGCCCCCGCCTTCTCTCCTTGGAGGGGAGGAGTCGGAGGTAGCGGCTGCTCTCAGGGCTGTGCTGGGGACAGAACCCCAAGTTCTCGCGGCTCTCAGGGCAGCTGGGGAGAGAAGGCCAGTGCCCACTGGCCACACCCACTCACACCCGTGTCCACGCTCACATGTGTGTCTCCCACAGTGCAGACACATTGTGCTCTGTCACACACGTGTATTCCCACACACACGCTCACACAGAGAGTCCACACGCTCACAGCTCACCTGCATGTCCATGTTCGTGCACAGGTGTGCCACACACACACACACACACACACACACGGCACCAAGCAGGGCCGAGGCTTCAGGGCCTGACCCCTGACCCCTCTAGACCTGCCCACCTCCTGCCCCACTGCTGCTCCCTGTCCTCCTGGGCACGGCTGACCTTCAGCTGAGCACATGCCTCAGCGGCCCCTAGGAAAGGCCCGGCCCTGGGTCCCCCTGGGGGCCCATCGAGGGCACTGCTGCCCCAGGGCCCAGCGCAGCCCCGGGCACCCAGGGGGCCTGTTCCTGCTGGTGCGCTTGGAGGGGCCGTGTAGACACAGGCTCCCAGCCCGGCCACTCACTGGCACGCTCCAGGGTGCGGGATGGGGGATGCTCAGCGCCCCGCCCCCCCACCGCCAAGCCCGACGACCCCCACGGCCCTCGCCCTGGGCAGATCTGAGCCCGGCTGGCCGGCAGAGGAGGGCGGGTGGGGGTGGGGTGGGCCGTGTCACGAGCCCCCCCGCTGCCACAGTGGGCTTTGCATTCCAGAAACAACAACACGCACAAAAACAACGCCACCGGCGAAAAAGGAAAGAAAGCCTTTTTTTTTTTCAGGTGCTAAAAATATTATCAGGAAATAGTTTTCAGCAATGTGCCCGCTCGGGCTCCGCTCCGGACTCAAGGGCGCCTTTGTCTCGGCCGCGGAGAGTCCGCGTTCGTCAGGCCCCGGCCGGCCCTGCCCGGCAGGCTCGCGCTCCGCGGCAGGAAACCCGAGCCTCCCCACAGGCCCGCGACACTGTGATTTAGGGCCTGGGCCTGTGTGCCGTGTCGACGGGGTGCCCGGAGCCGGCCCCCGACGCCCCAGGACTGGGGGCTCCGTGCGGGGAAGGTGGCGGGCGGCCTCACCTGGCCGGAGGCTGCTCCCCGCAGCGCTGAGGTGGGGGCTCTGGGTGGGGGTGCTGGGGGTGGGCCCGTCTGCCTGGCGGAACCGGCCCCCCCGCCCCAAACTTGCTCTCATTCCCTCCGTGAGGCGGCCGAGGGGGCATGGCTCTTCCCAGAGCAGCCGATCCTTCCACGTAGGAGGAACCAGAGCCCCGGCCCCAGGGACTGGGAGCCAGGCCGGGAGGTCCCAGGGCCCAGCGGGGCAGGTAGGGTCCGCCCCTGTCACCACACTGTAAGGCTGGGTGGTGCCGCTGGGGCACCAGGCTGGGGGTGGGAGGGCCTGGCGAGCACCCAGCAGCCGGCACAGCTGGGGAGTGCAGCACCTCCCGGCCCGGCCCCCTGGGCTCCTCCCCCTGTGCTGGGAGCAGCAGAGCCTCTGTGGAACCCCCCTCCCCCCGTCCCCCCACACACTGGACACCCTCTGCGGCTCTGGCAGTGACCTCAGGGAAATGACCAGAATGTGGGTGGGCCCTCGAGGCCGGGGTGCTCACTGCGGCCTCAGTCCGGGAAGACGGAGCAGAGCGGGAAGGGCTCTGAGCCGGAGGCTCCGCAGGGAGCGGCGGTGGACGGGCCACAGGTGGGCTCAGGTGGGGCACTCCTGCCCTGGGGTGAGCACAGGCCCCGCCCTGCCTCCTGCCGGAAGCCGGGCGGCCGGTCCACCTGCCAGGTTCAAGGCAGACACCCCCGTTCCTGGCTGAGGCCTGACAGCCTGGGCAGCCCGGGGGGACCCCGGCTGCAGAGACCCGGCGCCATCCCTGCCTGGCAGCCAGTGAAGTCGTGCTCTGGGGCCGTTCTAACGGTGCGGGAAAACTGTGACGATACAGAGTGTCAGGTACAGACTGCTGAAAAGAGCATTCGAAGCAGCAGATGCAGCGTGAGGCCGCCTCCCCAGCTGTGGCCCAGCCAGAGCTCTGGGGCTGGGCCTGTCCCTCAGAGCCGGCACCCTCCCGCGGTCTTGGGGCGTTGCCGCCTTCCGCCAGCCCCTGCCCGTGTGCTTCAGGATGGCCCTTTGCCCTCCCGCTGCCTCCGACGTGAGCCCCTCCCACCGTGGGCTGCAGGCTTGTCCCTTGGCACCTGGGAAGGCTGGTGCCCCACAGCTGGCGGGCCCTGTGCCACGGCAGCCACGGGGCGATGGGGCGTCTGGCATCGGCCTGGGCCACACCTGGTGTAGCGCCCACCCCAACCCTCTGGGGGGGTTCACCCGCATCACAGAGGAGAAAACGGAGGCCCAGGGAGCCTGCCCGGCGTTGTGCAGCTGCAGAGGGGCCCGCCAGGCCTCCACGGGTGGCAGGGGAGACGTCCCCGAGGGCATCGGCCGGCCTGAGCTCCAGGGAGCAGCGGGGGCGGGCGCAGGGGCGGGGGCGGGGGTGGGCCACCTTCTGCCTTTCCCCCCCGGGGCGGTGGGGAGGGCAGCGCTCTGCCCCGACCCCCGCCGACCAGCTCGGGGCCCTGTCCGACCCCTCCCCAGCCTCCTGCCCAGGCGGTGTGTGGGAGGGCAGGCCCAGCGTCCACCGCGGGTGCCCGACAGAGTGCCTGGCTCTGCCCGCCGGTCAGCAGGGCGCTGTGCCGACGCCTCCCGGGCAGAGCAGGGTGGGAGAGGCGAGCTGGCCCCCGGCCCTCCTCCTCCTCCTCACCTGCAAACTGGGCCCCAAAGGGTTGTGCTGAGGGGGAGGCCCCTGGGGGGCTGTGAAGTCTAACCCCCAGGGGCCGCACACTCACCGTGGGCAACGCTCATGGAAACACCCACTTATTTCTGTTCGAAAGACCCTCCTTTCCCAGCACGCCGCTTCACGCTGAGCAAGCCGAAGCAGAGTCTCCAGCAGAGGTCAAACTGTCGGTCGAAAGGTGAAGTCTCAGCGGCCTCGCGGGCCCTGGGACGTGTCCCGTGACAGGGAGGAGGGCCCGGAACCTGTTCAGGGAGTACAGGGTCGGATGTGGGGGCTTCCCGCGGGCATCGGGAAATCGTCCGACCCTTCTCGGGCCTGAATCGGACTCCTCTGTCCCTCGTGTGCGTTTGCTGACCGCCTCCTCTGCGCCGGAGACTCAGTCCCAAAGGTGTGGCTTGGGGGCGCCCGTGGGCAGTGTCAGTGGGCAATGCAGGGTGCGGAGAGCGAGGTGCTGACTCGACTCCGGTCTCCAGGTTCCGGGCCCTTCCCCCCACCCTGTCCCTCAGGGCCTTCTGCCGGAGTGGGGGGCCCGCGGGGGAAGGGCACACCTGGTGTGGACGGACGGCAGAGACAGGTCACCGAACGCCAGGCCCCGAGTTCTTTCTCGAGGCCCCGGCCGTCCCCGTTTGGGGGAACACTCCCCAGGAGAGGGGTGCGCCCGCCCGCTGGGTTGCTGCTTGCCCTACCTGGCCGCCACAGGTGGGTGGGTATCAGGGCACCCGCTCGCCCCCACAGACTCTCCTTTGCCCCGAGCAGCCGTTGCTAAGGGCCACCCCTGTCCCCTCCGAGCCTGAGCTGAGCTTCAGGACCCCCCCAACGCAGCACGAACCACCGGGAGGAGGGAGGCCCTGCCGCCCAGCTCTGTCTGGCGGCCGCTTTTGTGAGCGCTCAGCACGTGGCAACCCCACTTCTCAGCCCGGCCAGAAAACAGGCCTGGGTCCGTCTTGAAGAGACAGCGGACGACAGCAGACTGCCGTGCCCCGCAGCC